TATTGACTTTGGGGGTGTCACCTTGCAGACACCTGTGCCCTCTTGAGTTTGTGAATACCAGGTTTAATTAGTACTTTTATCCCTCTGTTTTTGTGGTGGAGCCTCTGCACCTGTATGTGTCTTTGCAACTTTTGCTCTATCCGGGCAACATCCAGCTGTCCTGGGGAAAGTGATGCATCTTATACCTATGCATTTAATGCCTTAAGGATGTTGGTCAACGACATTAGATTATCGTGAATGGTCAGATTTGAAGTTTAGTTTGGGAGTCACCTTCGTATGTTGTTTGTCCTTTTTTTTGTCTTCTGCAGTGGTGGAAATAAATGTGAACAGGGAGTATTCTGTAATTTTTCTTGGCTAGAGACATTACAGAGCAGACTGTGTCTTCTGGTAGCTTATTTGAGCTTGACCTCTTCTGACAATGTTTCTGGCTTCTGTTCAAGCAGAAGCACCCCTTAGCTTGTCCCCCCCTTCCTGTGGTACTGCTTTCCTCTCCCGGTCCCAGTCTGTCTGTCTCTAGCAGTAGCTCGTTTGTAACCCTTGTCACTCACTGCTGTACATATGCCCTTGCTCTGGCTGCATCCCGGAGCACAACTGGACAGAAAGACATCCTCACTGTGCGTTCTGAACCACTAACCTTCAGAGAGCCCTGTATGCTCTGGTTGTTCAGACATTTTTCTCACTACACTTGTTTCTTCCATGTCCTGGTGTCTCTTTATTTCTCCCTCCTCAAACTTCCATCACCAGTTCCCTTCTTTTTTCTCTTTGCTGATATCTTGTTTTCTATTCATTAAGAAAACAGAAGCAATCATAGAGGCCTTCTGGCAGCACCAGGACTCCCACCTCCCTGCAGCTTTGGAGCAGGGCGGTAGCATGAAGGTCATTACTAGGGCTGTCCTCTGTGGCTGTGTGCGCAGCGTGGGGTGAGGGAGGGCTGGAACTCAGGGGGACGAAAGACTGGGTGCACTTTTGATGGGGACATGAGCCCTGTGCATCCCTGTGGATAAACTTTTCTGCCTCCAAGATTGACCTTTCTGTTTATCAGTATGCCTCACCTCACCTGTTTCATCTGACTCTCTTCTCCATGGGACCAAGGACTGTGGCACCAGCAAAAGCTGAGAAAGATTTCCCCCAGCGCCTTCTTAGTCTGCTCCATGCTGCTAACTACAGAATATCTGAGCCTGGGTAATTTGTAATGAACTGGAATTCATTGGCTCATGGTTCTGGAGGCTGGAAGTTCAAGATGGAGGACTGTTATCTGGCAAGGGCCTTCTTGCTGCATCATCTCATGCTGCAAGGCAAACGGGTGGGGAGGAGAGAAACAGAAGCAGATAGACAGACAGACAAATGGGGGCCAAACTCATGTTTTTTGTAAGGAATCCTCTCCCATGATAACTAATCACTCCCATGAAAATGGGTGGGGCCCTCATGACCTAATCACTCTTAAAGGTCCTCTTCCCAACACAGCCACATCAAAGAACTCTGGGGGACACATTCAAACCACAGCAAGTCTTCTGAGGGAGCAGGGCCTGGTTGACAGCTTGACTTCTGACTGGTAGTCTTCAGAACTCAGATACATTTCTCTCTTTTCAAGTCTCCTGGTTTGTAGTCTTTGTTACCAGATCTCCAGGAAGTGAATTTGAAACCTTTGTATCTTTCTCTTTTTTCTTGTACTGGAGTTTGAACTCAGGGCCTTACACTTGCTAGGCAGGTGCTCTGCCACTTGAACCACTCCATCAGTCTTTTTTGTGTTGGGTATTGTCAAGATAGGGTCTCAGGATCTATTTGCTTGGGCTGGCTTTGAACCTCCTGATCTCTGCCTTCTGAGTAGCTAGGATTATAGGCGTGAGCCACTCCTATTTTTAATACATCCTGAATATGACCTGTGAGGAAATCTTGCAGCCTGTGTCCATTCTTTCTTACTATGTGTGCTGTTGTGCTGGCTCAGGCATTGTGTGTGACCTCACTCCTGCTTGCACTTGTTCAGACCCTTTCAGTCTGCTCCACAGAGCAGTCAGGGCGGGGGACCCAGCTGCGAGGGAGTCCTCCTGCTCCTTCCTCTAAACCCTCAGGGGCTCCTTTGCACCAAAGCCAAAGCGTGAGCCCTTGTGGCTTTCAGTGCTGTCCCAGCCTGGGCCTGCTGGCCCTCTGTTGTTCCTGGCTCCCTCTGCTTTTCTTGCTGTTCCCTGATTTTCTCCCCTCTTGGAGCCTCTGTCCTTGCTTTTCCCTGGAATCCCTCTCCCACAAATAAATACGGATGGCAAGACTGCAGTTATGTGCTGCTTAGCAGCAGGGATGCCTTCTGAGAAACATGTTGTCAGAGGGTGTCTCTGTGTGGGAAAGTCACCGAGTGTATTCTCACAAACTAAGAGGCGGAGTGTGCCTGTGCATACAGTAGAGCACAGCGCCTCACTCCCTCCCAGGTCTTTCCTTGAATGTCACCTGGCACCTGTTCTCCAGCTGCTCGCTCCTGGCACCTTGCCCTTCTCTGCTTAATAGTCCCCTTAGCGCTTTTCGCTGCCCAGTGTCCTGCATGTTGTGCCTTGCACACATTTATTCACTGTGTGACTTGCACACCAGAGGATAAGCTCTCTGAGGACAGGGATTTTGGTCCCTTTGTTTGCTCCATCACCAGAGGCCTTATTATAAGATGGCCTAGCAGGTGGCAGATGCCTCATACTTGTTGAGTGGATGGCTGAATGAATAGGTTGCTAATATGTTTTGGTTGAATTTATTATTTTTATAGTAGCCTTTTCTCCCCGGTACTGCAGATTGAATCCAGGGGCTCGCATTTGCGAGGCAAGTGTGCAGAGTCACGTACCCAGACCTCTTCCTTTTATTTTGCTTTTGAGATAGGGTCTCCTTGACTTTGCCCAGGCTGGCCTCCAACTCATGATCCTCTTTCCTCTATCTCCCCAGTAGCTGGGATTACAGGAGTGCCTGGCTGTTAACTTTTAATTATGCCCCTTCTCAACCATGGAAAAAACTAGAGTCAGCAGTGTAAGAAACACCCCAGATACTCAACTCCTGTACTTAGTGGTTAATTAACATTTGGCCTTATTTCCTTCATCTGCTTTGGAGATAAATTATAGATGTCACAACATACACATATTTCTAAAAGTTAAGGACGTCTTCTGTATCATAGAACCCTTACCACTCCTGTTAAAATGGGCAGTCATTCCCTTTTTGTTATTTAATATGTACTGTCCACATTCACATTTCCTGCTGGTCTCAGAATGTCTCTTCCAGCTACTTTATTCCAATCAGAATCCAACCAAGAACCACTTACTGCACTTCTCTGTGTCTTTTGTTGTTGTTCTTGCGGTGCTGGGGATTGAACCCAGGGCCTTGTGTGTACTGGGCAAGCTCACTACCGCTTGAGCCACACATCCAGCCTTTCTGTTTGTATTTTTTGCTTTTGAGGTAGTGTCTTACTAACTGCCTGGCTTAGCCTCAAACTCACGGTCCTCCTGCCTCTCCTCCTCAGGAGCTGGGATTATAGGCATGCACCACCACACCTGGCTTCATGTCCTTGTTTCCCTTCTCATCTAGATAGGTCCCTCCACCATCCTTCCACACTATGAAATTGACTTGTCGAAGATTCTGGCCCCACTGTCTTGCTGTTTGGATTTCTTCTGATTGCTTCCTTCTGAAGTCACGTAAGCTTCTTCCTCTCTCCTCTGTGTGTCCTGTGAACTGGAAGTGAGTCTTAAAGGTTGATAGGCTGAATTGGTTGGATTAAATTTCATCTTTGAAGCTCTTGCTCTTTGCCTCGGCAGCTTTGGGACTTACCCCTGACATTAATGAAGGAGGGACGTGGTTTTTCTTTTGAAAGACTTGACATTTTACACGAGGATGCCCCAAGATCCTGGATCTGTTTTGTTCGGGCCTGGTAGGATGACTTCTCTGTGCCTTCTGTTCCTCCTGAGCCACCCAGAGGACGGCCTCTGGGACCTCTGGGGCCTGGAGGGGGAGAAATTCCTTCAAGCTCCTTGTGGTTTGGGGTATAATAGAGAGCTCTGCATCTGGGTTGGGCTGTGTCTCTTCTGTGTTCTGCCTTCTCTCCCCTGCTTGGACTCACATTTAAGACAAACAGAAAGCAGCTTTGGGGGATCCATTATGTTCAACCTGTCTTCAAGAGGAGGAGATTGGATGCCTAGCACCTCAGTGCTTTGCATTCTGTGATTTCTTCTTGTTTGTTCATTTTTCCAGCTAGGATAATAAATTTCCTTTAGGACAAAAGTATAAAGGTACAGTTTTTTTTCTTTTAAATTCACAAAGGAGTAGAGAATTACTTATAAGCTCTAGAGCTAGAGGGAGCTTTTAAGATTTAGTTAGAAAAATACTAATAAACTTGCCTCATGTCCTTGAATCCTGGCTCCCAAAGTTTTTTTTTATACACTGTAAGCATACTTAGTGCTCTAGTGTGGATTCTGTTGCTGTAACTGAATACTTAGACTAAGTAACTTATAAAGAAAAGATATTACTTTCTCATAGTTCTGGAGGCTGGGAAGTCCACAGTTGAGGGGCCACACCTGGTCAAGTCCTCCTGGCTGGTGGGGATCTCTGCAGAGCGCAGAAGAGATAGGACAGGGTGTCGCATGGCAGGGTGCTCAGGAGGGATGGCAAACTGCTTTTTCTGACAGAGCCACTCTTGGAATAACTAGCCTACTCCCCCAGTAACCTGTTAATCCATTAGTGGATTAGTCTATTCACATGGGCCAGGCGCCTGTGACCCAGTCACCTCCCAAAGGCCCCCATTTCCAAATACCATCAACATGAATTTGGGGATTAATGTTCCAACCTATGAATTCTGCATAGCACTTAGTGTATTTATTATCATATGGTCTAATAGTTCAGATATACAGAATATGTTAATCTGGCTTTTATTTGTCATCAGTTAGGAAGTACTTATATTACCCAAATGGCAATTATAGGAAAAGCTGCCATCCTTTAATGAAATGCTAACTTAAAACCTTTTCATTCCTTTTTGTATGGCACAGGCAATTCGGGATTCGTTTATGCAGTGGCTGGGGAGACATGTAGATCCCGAAGGAGTAATAAAATCCAGCAAGCTCTCCCTTAAATTTGTTTCCTCGCACACCTCTGAAACAGAAGTCACCCCATCTTCTATACCTGTGGTCACCGACACGGAGGTCTTCTCATCAGAACATTTTAACTTACAAATCTATCGGCAAAACCTACGGACCAAGCAACTTGGAAAAATAATTCTGTTTGCTGAAGTGACCCCCACGACCATGAGTCTCCTGGACGGGTGAGTGCCGATGGATCTCCTGGGCTCTGCTACCAGGTGACTTCTCGTGTCGGTCATTCTCTGTAGCCAGGGCAGGGGAGAGAGAGGCAGTTGTATGTAACATGCTTCAGCAAACCTATGCTCGAGGTGGCCAAACTCCTGTCCTGAAGAGCTGAGGTGTAGGAAGAGGAGTTAAAGTCTTGATCAGAGGCCTGTGTGAACGGAAGCCTTCTGTGACTTGTGGCTTGTGGCTTGTCCCCTTTCATCAGGCCTTCCAGAATGTCCTCTGAAAAAAAATATTATGAAAAATTTTAACAGGTGGCATTATTGCTCAGGTTACTGTTTTACTTTTGTGCTGTTATAACCAGTGTTGACCATTTCATTTGGGATGTTTTGCATGGGTATTAGAAGAGCAGAGCTGGGTTAAATTGGAATAAGTTGGAGCTTTGAATTTTCAAAACTGTTCTGGCATGCTCCCATCCGACACATTTTTTAAGCACTCTGTAATCCTGTTTGGGTGTTTGAAATTTACTTTCATTGTAAGTTTTCCTTTTTAGTGTCTTCTGTGGACTTTGACTAAAAACTAAAACAGGAAAAACAGATAAAAGGGATTTTTCTAAACTCTTCAGTTTGTCAGTATTAATACCATCTTAGTTTTAAAAGGTGTGTTATAAAGGGAAGGAACAGAAAAGTGTGTTCCCTCAATGTGGCACCAAAATTTAAGGAACATAAGTCTTTAGAAGTGGGTTCACAGTTCCTAGGTGTTCATGCATGGGACTCCATGTTTAGACGGAATATAATTCATCAGAAGGGAATGTTTTGCCTTTGTTCTTAATAATTTCTGGAATGTAATATTACGTTGACATAAAACGGTGAGGTAGCTTTGTCATCTTCTTGGTTCTCCCACTCGAAGCCAGCAGAATGGCAGTGTTGGTGTGCAAAGAGTATGCAGAATAGCATGGGCACGGGAGCCATGTTTAATTATCAGTCGCTCACTGAGTTAATTTGTGTTGTCAGAGTACTTATTTTTTTAGAGTTCCCTAAATCCCCCTGTCTCCACTTCCCCCCTGCCAACTCCCCACTGCCCCCTCCCCAGCAGAGGGAACAATCTTGCCTGACTTGTAACACACCCTGTGGTATTTCTTACTCCAGTGAAGGCTGTATTCCAGGGGTAATTACAGTTTCAAAATACACAGTCATCCTCGTATTTGACAAAGGAGTTGGAGAGACGAAGTTCAGATGCAAAATCATGGCACTTCCATATGGTTTTCCATGTGTCTGAGGGTCACAGTGAAGAGCAATTGATGTTGGGACGATCTTGAACCACTGGAAGTGTGGCCACCGAGTCTGTGCCAGGGACAGCGCATCGCTCAGGGCAGAGCGTGTGCCCGAGGGCAGCTGTGTAATCACGCAGCCAGGGGCCCTGTGTTCCGGGCAAAGAAAAATGCTGTATAAACACACTGCTCTAATTCGTCAGGGTGTTCTTTTTTGATATTGAGCTTTAAAAAAACATTCTGTCCTGAGCGTGGGGTGGGGGGGGTCTGCAAAAGTGCGTGACAGACTTGGAAGCTGCGGGGCGCGAGCTCACTACCAGAGGTGGAGCCTGTGTGGGATTTATTTTTACAAGAGAAAAGCACACTTGAGCTTTTCCCAGGGGGTTGAGGATCCCACTTTCTCCTCTTGTCTGGCTTCTGCAGAGCACAGTGATGGCTCTGATTCTTACCATCCCATTCCCCTGCTTGCGGGGCAGGTGCTGACCAAGCAGGGCTGTCAGCCTTGGCCATCAGAGATGGCCTTCACTCCCCACTCAGGGGGACACTCTGAGGGCAAGGTACTCGCCTCTGGAGTCAGCAGGCCTGTCAGAAGTTCCTGGGGACCTGGAACTTCTCTCTTGGGAATATATCTGTGATGAGGGCCTCTTGCTGCCACACAGAGGCCATGAGCTAAATGAAATACACAGACGGTTATGTTCCAAGAATACAGCCCAGACGATTCTCCACACTGGTTCTGTATGTGATCCACGTGGGGTAGCTTACTGGAAACTGCTTACTGTGTGCTAGTGTGCACAGGAAGCTTGTCTTCCAGATGCTGCTTTGATGTGCTTCCCATGTCATCTCACACGTGATCTTTTTTTTTCCTTTTATTAGGAAAGCAGCAGTATACCTCAAGTTGTGAGTTGGGCTTTAGGCCCGATTGCTCTTTCCAGTGAACTTTCTCATTCTGCAAAATGGCTGTTTCAAAGCTTTATCACTCCCCCTAAAAGGACTGCAGTTGCTATCCTATTGTCATTTTCTGTAATTTCTTTAAATACCTCTCATGCTAGTGACATCAGACCACTCAGCATCCTAGCTCACCTCCAACCCATTATTTACACTATTCCGCCAGAAATGCTTTCTACCTGCTCCCATCCCTTGTCATCTTGTCCTCAAAGCCTATCTCAGCCGAGCGCCAATGGTTGATGCCTATAATCCTAGCTAGTCCGGAGGTAGAGATGAGGAAGATGGTGGTTAGAGGCCAGCTTGGGCAAATAGTTTTTGACACCCTCTTTCCAAAGTACCCAACACAAAAAACGGCTGGTGGAGTGGCTCAAGTGGTAGAGCGCCTGCCTAGCAAGCGTCACAAGTGATCTTGTAGTGCTCCGTGGCCATTGATAAGCGCTGCTGCCACAGCAGTGCTTGGGGAATTGTCCCTGCTTCTGAATATTTGTAAAAATATTGGTATGTCACATCATGAATATCACTTTGATGGACCAAGAAGGCAGGGCCTGTGTTTTTCAAAATGGCAGACTGGGTTCACCCAGTGCTCACTGCACTCTTTGTATATTTTGCCTCTGTGGCAACTGAGCGGCTCTTTCTTAATGGGCTAGAGCAGAAGTAAAATTTAAATTAGGTGGGTCTTTTTTTTTTGTTTAACCTCTCCCATCTTACACCATGTATTAGTTAAAAATTGGAACTTCTATTTCTAGGAAGGGGGGATAATTGCACAGTGAGGATCACCAGCAGTTTCTGCCAGAGCCCCAAATTGTGCATGTACATTTTTCTTTCCCTCCACAGAAAACTGTCACCTCACCCTCTTGGAAGCCAACTCTCACATTGTCATTTACCTTGTCTTGATCAGATTCAGGGCTGGATGTGGCTCAGTGACATTAAACAGATGAGCCCAGGCTGGAGGTGGAGCTCAGTGGCAGAGCACTTGCTTAGCAAGTGTGAAGACCTGGGTTCCACCCCCACTCCTGCACACACAAAAGAAAACACTAAAAAAAACCCAGACGAAGCTGGGTGCCAGAGACTCATGCCTGTAATCCTAGCTTCTTGAGAGGCTGAGATCAGGAGGTTTACTGAGAAAAAAGTTCATGAGATCCCATCTCAATGGAAAAAAGCTGGGTGTGGTAGTACATACCTGTCATCCCAGACACAGGGGGAAACCAAAACTAGGAGGATCATGGTTCAGGGCAGCATAGGCAAAGAATAAGACCCTGTCTTCAAAATAACCAGAGCCAAAAAAGCTGGAGGTGTAGCTCAAGTGTTAGAGCACCTGCCTAGCAAGCACAAAACCCTGAGTTCACACCCTCAGGCCACCAAAACAAACAAATTAACACCCAGACAAGCTTCTCCCCTAACACCAAGTACTATGCAGCCATGGTAGAAATAGGGGTATTGATTTACTGGGGTTCTGCACTGGTGATTGGCAAGGTCCCTGTCACCATCTGGCAGTGCAGGTCCTGCCCTCTAAGAGAACTGAATTCTTGGGGCCATAGCTTTGCCTCCTGGTGGGAGGGTTTTCCCTGTGCCATATCTGAAATGGACAGTAGAGAGGACTGGCTTCTGATTCCCATTCCTGGGAGGGTCCTAGGAGCTCTGGTATTGTTTTGGGGACTGAACAGTCATGGCTTCTTATAGGCCGACCTTATGATTTCTGCGGAGCTAGGTCTCTCAGAACTTTACTGGGTCTCTACTCAGTTGCTTCTGTTTGATTTCATGTTAGTGACTGTCATAATTGTTTAAAGGCTTCAACCCTCTATTAACCTCTTCTTTCCCTATTTAATGGCAGCCTCGTTGGGCCCAGTGACATGGTGGGCTTGGGTGAAAGACCAGGCTCCAAAACCACATCTTCAGCACAGGTTCCTTTGTTCTGTATGGTGAAGTGTCTGTCTCATCCTCCCTAGGGCTGCAGGACAGCCCTGGAGGCTCCAACTTAGATGGCCTTTGGCAGATCAGGAACTCCTTCCTTATCAGATCTGTACTCTTTCCTGCTTTTTTGAGACCGAATACTTCTCATTTCATGAGGTCATTTCTCATACTGAACTTTAGTAAGAGTGTCAAAGAAGATGGATAGACACTGGTGTTTTGATTTTTCAGAGCTATTCCTTGCAGTAATAACAGCTTCTAACAGACCTGCAGTTTGCCTCCCAAGACCCAGAAGGCCGGGCTTGATCAGGTGCTGTGTGGCCGTGTGACAGCATTGATCAGTGGTAAACCTTGGAGTCTCTTTCCCTTCCTATTCAGTCCTTTCTAGCCCTCCCACACAAGGCTGCATTCTTTAGGCCTTGTTTCTGGTGGTGTGCACAAGGTCTAGGACTTAGCGTGTCCTATTCAGTACCTGTTTCTAGGATTAGGTACCTGTCAGTTAGGATTAGGTTCAGCTGTATGAGACAGATGTCTCAAAATAAAAGTGGCTTAAACATAAAAGTGAACTTCTCACTCCTGTAAGTGACATGGGCTGAGATGGGCAGCCCAGGGACAGTGCATTGGCTCACACTGCCAATGACTCTGTGTTGTTGCTTTGCCCCTGAGCACATGGTCCAAGATGGCAGCCACCCAAGCGTTTATGTTCTCACTGTAGCACTAAGCAGGAGGATGGAATAAAAAAAAGACTGTACCCCCATCCATTAGGACTCTTCCTAGAAGCTGCACACGATCTTTATATCCCATGACCAGGACCTAGTCACGCAACCTACACACAGAGGAGGCCAGGAAACAAATGTGGTGCTTATATGAGGCATCTACAAATCCAGCTGAAGA